ATTTTTTTTAAATACGCTCAAAACAATAACGAAAGAAAAATACTAGTATTTTTGTGAAGAAGCGCCATATTTTTTGTATATCAAACGTCAGTCGCTTTTTTTCACAATAATCCTAGTATTTATCGTTCGTTATTGTTGTAAGCTTGTAAAAAAAAATAACTTTTCACTTCGATGTTCTTTCAAAGCATGTTTTTTAGTTTTTTAAACTATATTAATTGTATTCGTTTGAAAATGTCTTTATAGGACGAAACTGCAGTAACGTTAGTTATGAATATAAGTGGCATAAACATAGAAAGTTTCATTTATTATTTTCCATTATCTCCTACAACTTAGTGGCTACCTTCATTAATGTATCGAATTCTATCCTCATCTTGGAGGTTTTCATGGATTATATTAACTATCAAATTGTTTTGTCTTCGAAAATGATTTAAGATTCAGTTTTCGAGTTATCACGTTGAAACTCGTAATTATGCATTCATTATCCTCTTAAAAAAAATCCATTGTAGAATGAATAATTCATGAAATAACTATTACTGCTAATAAAAGATCAGTACCTACGGAAAGTAAAATCATATTTGTCGATTGGGAAAACCCAACCACAAAGTTTCTTCTTGTTCGAACCTCTGAACACGAACTCATTCATCATTGAATTTAAAGGCTTACAGAAATTCACAGAATCGGTTTCAGAAATTATATCCGAAAGTTGCATGAAAACCTTGAAACTAACTGTAGATATCAGTATGCGTAGCACTTTTATGAGCTTGGAACGCAGTTTACAAGGTTGCCTTTTATGTTTCGGGATTTGGCAACCCTAGTGTTGCAATCTGGCAAATGACAGCTCTATCGTAAAGTTGGACATTTTTGAGTTTATACGTACTCAGAATGTTTTGACATACGCGCGCTATTTGTGTTGTTTACAGTAACTTAAAAGATTCATTTCGGCCCAAAAACGACGGACCTTTGAACAATAAAAATTATTTTAACCCATTAAATATCATTATTAAGAAAAAAATTCACATACTTTCTAGACACTCTTTTTAACATTTTATTAAATTAAAACCACGATAAAAATAAAATAAAAGCAACAATAAAAATTAATTGGCGCTCCGGGGCGACTTCATTGATTCCAGTGGCG